CGACGCTCATCCTCTGCAAGGAGGAGGAGAAGGGGAAACGGCGGAGGATCCCCACGGGCGACTGGTGCTTCTGTGGAGCAGAGGGAGCGGGTGTCGGGGCCAGGTGGGAACCTCTCTGGGAGCTACAGCCTTCTCCAGGGGCTGCGAAGCACAACAACCCTTCAGGGGTGCAGACCCACCAACTGGGGAACCTCAGCCACGGGACGTACCCTGTCTCGTGGCTGTTCTTCCTCGGGCGGAGGCTTCATCACAGCCAAGACCTTCGTCCCAAACTGCTGGAAGACGGGCAGCTCACCTTCCTCCTCCTCTTCCAGCATCTCCAGGTGCTGAAACCAAGGCAGATGCCGAGATGGCAAAGCTCTGTCTTGCAAGCCCCAAGCCCCATCCACCTCACAGATGGGTTTAAACACCCCTTCTCCTGGCAGAGGAAGATGTCAGCCACCTCCCTCTTTACAGCTTTGCCCACCACTTGTCTTACCCAGCCGGTGGACTCCACCATCTTGAGGTCCACGGGGTCCCCGACAGGCTGCGCCCGCAGCAGCGAGACGGTGTGGCAGGTGGCCAGGGAGTAGAGCAAGTGACCGGCGGGCAGGTAGCGGGGCTCGTGGACGATGGGCATGAAGTGGTCGTTCTCCAGCGGGACCACCCCCCAGACGTCCAGCCCTTCCTCTGTCAGCGTTCCTGTCTGTGGGGAGAGCGTGGTGGGTCCAGGCCAGCCCCCCTCCACCCCGAGCTGGACACCATGGTTCCTCGGCACTGGCCGAGACTCACCTTGTCAAAGCAAACCAGGCGGACCTTCCCGCAGAGGTTGATACGGGGAGGGCTGATGCAGAAGATGCCCCGTTTCTTCAACCTGTTCTGGGCATAGATGGTGCCCACCGTCATCGCAGCCGGGAGAGCCGGCGGCACAATGACGGTGACGAGGTCGAGGGCACGGATGATGATCTGCCCCACAGGGACCTGGGTGAGGAGGAAGAGGGGTGGGCATCCTGATAGCCCTCACCCACCTCCGCCTGCATCGGCTGACGGTCCCAGCGCCAGCCTGCGCTCGAGGACTCGCCAGCTCCAACAACCCTACCTGGTTTTTAACCAAGATGAGGATGCTGTACAGCGTGCCGACAAAAGCTGTGCGGGAGGGAGAACGGGCTTGGTTACAGAGCGAAGCAGATGAAGGGCGGGTTCAACCATTTAAGAGCAGTTTGGTGGCTCCTGGCCGTGCCTCCACACTCAGACGTACCCAAGACGGCGAGGAACAGCACAAACTTCACAGCATCCTTGTAGAACTTGAAGCTCACGGGTTTGGGGTAGAGGATGGAGCTGATGAGATCTCCTTTGGCTGTGCAAAACCCTGTGGGTGAGGGACAGAAATCAGCACACGCGAAGTCACTGCTCCAAAAGATGTGGCTTAATCCTGGCTTTTCCCCTCAATCCATTACCTGTGCGGGTCACCACGGCCAGCACTTCTCTCCCCACGTAGGACTTGGCTTGGATGACCTGCGTCCCGCAGAACAGCGTGTGCCGCTTGTGCTCCTCGGGGGAATAGACGGTGCCGGCTGCCTGGCTGCCGGCCGGAAGAGGGGTTAATCTCCAGAGGCCAAGTAGTGGTATTTCCTTAGATGACATAGATAGTGAGAATGTTTGAAATTATTGATAAGTGAGTGCTTCATAGGGAATTGACCAATCTAACTTTGCCTCATAAGAAAATAAGACTGAGATTTTCCGAGGTAAAGAGGAAACATGTTTGTAAACAGAAAACTAATAGTGTCTCTGCATTGACCAGAGGATGACATAATTCTTCAAACTAATCTAGACATTTTGAACAAGTGAGAATGCCTGGCCATGGACATTCTCTTGTGGAAGAACAGTGTCTGTCTTCTGACGATGTTCAATTTATGCCTTGCACCTCACCCTATTGTCTGCATCCCCCAGCGATGGCCGGGGCGGCGGAGGCGTGCAGCCCGCCGTGTGCCGGGCTCTCACCTGTCAGCATGCTCTCGTTGACCATGCACTCGCCCGTCAGCAGCGCGGCGTCGCAGGGGACCAGCATCCCGTCCGTGGGGAGGCTGATGCAGTCGCCCGGCACCAGTTCCGCGGAGCTCACCACCATCTCCTCTGCAAAACAGTGCGGCCGTGCTCAGGCACGTCATCCCGGCACCGTCCCGAACGGCTTCGTGCCCGGAGCCCTCGCTCGTCGTGGGTATCACGCTCACCTCCGCCGGGCCGACGGACTCGGACGCCGACCGACATCTTGGCCATGTTCTGCAGCGTGGCACTTTGCTGCAAGGGAGGGAGCAGTCAGCAGCCACCCAAGGGCAGCTCCAAAAGCAAAAAACTGACTGTAAAACAGGTCTTGAAGGCTCGGGACCGCGGATGAAAGACAAGGAAACCTGCCCCACCACCAGAGTATGGGTTGTCCTCACCCAGCTGGGCTCAGAGGGAGCTCAGCATCAGCACAGAGAATCATAAAAAGGTTGGAAAAGACCTCAAAGATCATCAAGTCCAACCGTCAACCCAACCTCACCACGCCTGCTAAACCATGTCCCGAAGTGCCACATCCACATGTTTTTTGAACCCCTCCAGGGATGAGGACTCCACCACTGCCCTGGGCAGCCTGGTCCAAGGCCTGACCACTCTTTCAGTAAAGAAATTTTTTCCAATATCCAATCTAAACCTCTCCTGACACAACTTGAAGCCATTGCCTCTTGTCCTATCGCTGGTTACTTGGGAGAAGAGACCAACCCCCGCCTCACTACACCCTCCTGTCAGGTCATTGCAGAGAGTGAGAAGGTCTCCACTCAGCCTCCTCTTCTCCAGACTGAATAATGCCAGTCCCCTCAGCCCCTCCTCATCAGACTTGTCTTATAAGAGGTCAAACAGCATCAGAAAGCGGGCTTCTCCACTAGAGCTGCTTGTCCCAAATAAGCCCACCACCAACCTTTCTTGTCTCGTAGAGGGACAGCGCTAAGGAGATGGTGGAGATGAGGAAGATGCAGGCAGCGTAGTAGTAATAGGCATCACAGACCCACAGCACGATGCTGAACACTTGGAAGATGTAGAAGGGATTGAGCACCTGGAAAGGAACAAGCAGAGAGAGCAGGTTTTGGGGACGGAGAGCTTCCTCCAGCCCATCGTGAGACCTCCAGGCTCCTTGAGGAACATCTGCTTATGCAGAGGAGAAGCTGGTCCTTCCCTGGGGCTCGACTAGCTGACTTCCTACAAACCCGCCGTCCTCCCCAGCTTTGCCTACGGTCAGTGCTCCTGAGGGTGCTCAGCCACCTCTGCAACTCTCTTGCTGAGGTAGGACGGGTCCCCTCCACAGCTCTAGTAGCTCTGCCTTCTCTGGTCACTGCCCAAGCTGCTTCTCCTAAAGTCCTCTCCACCCCGCCAGCGAGGAAGGGGCCTGCAAAGCACTTGCAGCGAAGGACACGGAGCAGGGGAAGGATCTGCCCTGGGACGACTCGGTCTGTTGAAGCACAGCTGTAGATGCACACCTCCTCCACCAACAGCCTCGCGTAGGACTTGACTGGCACCTCGATGAGGTTTGGTCCGTAGATCTTCCTTCTGCAAAGGGGAGAGAAAAAGCAAAGGGGAAGCAAATGCATGCGAGGAAACAGCTGCATTTCCATCCTGAGGGACCCTCACGCCGCCCAGACCTCCACGACAGCCCGATCATGTGGAGAAGCCAAGCCAGGGCAATCCAGCCCGCCTGGCTGTTCTCTGTTTTGAGGTCTGAACGCAAGAAAAAACCACGCTCCAGGATTTGCTGACCCCTGGAAAAACCCTGTCTGTGCTCCTCAGGTGTCCCACGAGGCCGGTAGGTCCCTACCTGGTGTCGTGGTCTTGCTGGTCGAGCCCAGCCTGGGAGAGGTGGAGATCTGCACAGGTCCAGCCTTCATCCAAGACACTGGCAAGCCCGAGGGGAAAGAAAAAACAGAGCAGAAACGGAGTGAAAACCAGCGGGAGCCTGGCCTGGTGGAACAAACACCATGTCCAAGTCCTTGGTGACAAAGAAAAAAACCCCTTTAGGAAAGGGAGAGCATCTTGTTCCTCGGCCTTCGACGCAGCTCGCGGGTGCCAAGCCCTGGAGCGGGAACAAAAGTTGGGAGAGCCGCGAGCGGCACGGGGCGGTGGGGACAGCCCAGCGCGGGGCGGCTGCCAAAATACTTCGCCCCGTTTCCTCTGCCCACAAAGACGGGCAACATCAACAACTCGGAGGGAGAGGCAGCGCGGCTTTCCCCAGCCCAGTGCCCCGGGGATGATCTCCAAGGTTTTGCAGCGCTGAGAAAAGCTCCAGCGCAGTTACGTGACTTCCAGCCAGGTCAGGACCATTTTGGGGGAGCCGAGGGGTCGAGGAGAGCAGCAGGGAGATGCAGAGAGGATTGCTGCGGCAGAGGGGACAGAGAAATACCTGACTTTGCAGTACGCCTGCCGCCGTTCGATCCAGACGTAGCGCATGCCCTCGAAGAGATAGTACCGCAAGACGTTCTTCTGAGCAGAGCGGGATGGGAAAAATCAGGTGTTGATGGGACAGGAGGGGAGCCCACACCAGGGGAGAGGATTTACGGGGTGGAGGTGGGAAGGGTCGCTAGCGTTACCTCTTCCTTCTCGTGGAGCCGGATGGTGTCCCGGCTCTCCTCCTCTTCCGACACGCCGACGGCGATGCTGGTCCTCCGGTCCTCCAGCCTGGCCCCGGGGTGATGCTCCAGGCTGCTCGGGGTGGAAAACCAAGGGTCAGACCCTCCTCACCCGCCAGCGCCACTGCAAACCTCCCCACTCCTCAAAGCCAAAAGCCCAGGCGAGCCCCTGCCCAGCGTGGGGATGTGATCCCAGCTCACCTGCCCTCGCCCAGCACCTCGGTGCGCACCCGGGAGGTGAAGCACTGTCCGAATCGGTCCTGCAACACAGGCACGGGGCTGAGCGGAGGGGAACGGGGAGCTCCCCATGCGTGTCCCCCACCCCAGCTCCTTCAAACGGGGACAGCAGTCCTGCCCGGCGCAGGCAGGGAGTCAGGGACAACAAAGAGAAATACGAAGACAGGCTGCCTGCCACGGCAGGGGAAAGTGCAAAATCAATCCAGGAATAATAATTATTCCCCGAATAATTTGGCTCTGTGGTAGAATGCTGCTTGATGAAGGGAGATAATGATCTTCAAGGTCCCTTCCAGCCCAAACCATTCTATGATTCTACGACACAGTTAGGGAGGGTGACAAGCAGCGAGGAACATGCCCAGGGCCCTCCCGGGAAGACGGTGGCAGAGCCCAACCCACCCCGGATCCTGGGGACTCACCCTGATGATGACCCAGTCGGCCTGGCCGAGGGCGCAGGGCTTGCACTTCGCCTGCACCTCCAGGCTGGGCTTCCAGTGGAAGAGGACGAGGAGCAGCCCTGCCGTCAGCACCGAGCAAGCGTGGCACAGGGCCACCCGCCACGTCGCGGTCTGGTAGCCCGTGACCTCCTGGAAGGAAGGAGGTCACCTTTACGGGGATGTTTATTCACAAAATAAACTGAAATTATAATTATCAATCATCTAAATCCTAAACTGATCAAAAGCCCTAAGCCTCCTGGCGTGATTTAACACCAGGCAGGTGCCAAGTGTGTAGCTTTGAGGCTGGAAAAGCAGGGTTTCGTGCCGGTGTGGCAGGCGACGCGCGGTTCTTGCACCAACCCTTCCCGAGCGTGCCTCCCTCCCCGCGGCGAAGCCCTCGGACCTACCATGCAGGATTTATCGGCGTCTCGCTGCAGCGTCCCGTAGCCCGGCCGCCGGGTCGCCAGC